ATTGCCCTTCGCCTCGAGCTCGGCATTGAGCTCGGACGTGTCCTTGTTCCGCCAGCCTCCCACGGGCATGGCGTCACCGTCGGGCCACCAGGCGAGCGCCTCCTCGTCGGGCAAGCCCGAGGCGCTCGTGACCCACGTCGTGGCGTACTCCTTGTACCCTCCTGTGAATCCGAGCGAACAAAAATTATCCTCGTGCTCCTCAGCCCACGTCTTCTCCTTCCCTCCTGATCCGCCTCCTGTCCCCCATCATCCACCTCTTCCACCTCATCATCACCCGCCTCATACTCTTCCTCGTGCGTATCTTCATTCTCGATCTCTCGCCAAGCCCCCTCCCCCTCATCAATCCCCACGTCCCGTCATCATCATCCTTATCCTCGCCTTCTCATACTCATGCTTGCACTGCCGACTGTCCGTCGAGCGAGCGCCACGCCTGCTTCGCGATCTCGTCCCAGCCGTACGTGTACATCTCTCCCCGAGCTGCTACGCGATCATCGCCAGGGGGCGCTGCGTCATGATCATCACCAGGGGGCGCTGCTTCACGATCATCACCAGGGGGCGCTGGCTCTGCTGCATTATCATCACCAGGGGGCGCACGATCATCACCAGGAGGCTCTGCACGATCATCACCAGGAGGCGCTGCGCGATCATCACCAGGGGGCGCGCGATCATCACCAGGAGGCCCTGCACGATCATCACCACGGGGCGCACGATCATCACCATGAGGCCCTGCGCGATCATCACCACGGGGCGCTGCAGCTGCACGATCATCACCAGGGGGCGCTGCAGCTGCACGATCATCACCAGGGCGCGCTGCAGCTGCACGGAGGGGGCGAGCAGCCTTGGGCTTAGGGCGGGACGATGACATCACAATGTCACACGGTTTGTCATGCTGCATGTTGGGCGAGTGTTGCAATGATTGTGCAATGATTTTGCAATGAGTTTGCGATGATTTTGCGATGATGGTTGTTGCTGTTGTGTGTTTAGTTGGTGTTCAGCGCTGTAGCTGAACACCAACTTAGGTCGCTCGCTACTGTTTAACATGCTCGACCCCCCATCAGAGATAGCATCGTTTGTATCTCTCTCGTTGTCTCGCTCCCCCTCTCTCTCACACACTCTCTCTCCCGTCCCTCCCTCCATCCCTATCCCTCCTTCCCTCATTCTCCTTATCCCTCTCCCTTTCCTCCTCCCCGTCCCCCATCAATATCCTGTCCACCTCTCTCTCTCTCTCCATCCCTCCCTCTCCCTCCCTCCTGTTGTTGGTTTTTGTTTCCGCATCTCTCTCTATCTCGTTCTCTACCTCTCTCTCTCTCTCTCCCTCCCTCTCTCCATCTCTCTCTCTCTCTCTCTCTCCCCATCTCTCTCTCTCTCTCTCTCTCTCTCCATATATATATATATACATACACCCCCTCTCTCAGCCTGGCCTCCACCTCCCCCCCCCCGTCTCATTCTAGTTCCCCCGCCTCGCTTTCATCCCCTCCCTCCCTCCACCGCGCTACCACCCCACAGCCTGATGTACCATGTGCGCGATGCGCTCCTCCATGCTGGGCTCGCCGAGGCCGTCGCTGTCGCTGTCCTTGCCCCCGACGTAGTTCTTGGGCTCGCCGTCCTCATCATCTGGATCTTCTTCACCGCCGCCCCTGGACTCGCCGTCCTCATCATCATCATCTTCTTCACTGCCCCTGGACTCGCCGTTCTCATCATCATCGCCATCGTCCAGGGTAGCGGCGGGGCGCTTCAGCGCCGCTGGGGCAGCAGCAGCAGGCCGCTTGAGCGCGACCTTGGGCGACGGCCTCGGCGATGCCGCCTCGCCGCAGTGCCCCTCGGATGCCTCCTGGATCCTGCGGACGAAGTCTTTGCCCTGGTACTTCCTGCGGGCGCGGGCTCTCTCTCCCCCCCCCTCTCTCTCTCTCTGTATGCACATGTGTGTATATGTGTCCCTGTTTTTCTGCATCTATTCTAACATTCGGTCTGTATTCGTATCCTGTCCCCTCGAGGTCCCCACTACAATGGTCTCCATCATGATACCTTTCTCTACATATCTGTCTCTCTCTCTCTCTCTTTCTCATTCTCTCTCTCTCTCTCTCTCTTTCGCTCGCTCTCTCAATATCTATTTCTCTCTGTTTCTCCTCTCTCTCTCTCTCTCCCTCTTTTGGTGTGTATATATAGTGTGTGTTTACCATCTCTCTATCTCTCTTTCTCCCTCTCTCTCCTGCTCATCTCATCGTAATCCCTACCTGCTCTCCTTTAATCTTCCTCCATCCGTTCCTCATCCTCTCCCGCCATCGTCTCTCTCGCGTTCTGTCCTGATATGGCACACCATGGTGCGAATCCGCTTGCTCATGGTCCGCTTCCACTCTGACATGTCTCTGTCGCTGAACCCGAACCCGATTGCCAGCGCCCCCTGGTGCAGCGCCCCCTGCATCTCAATGTCATTAATCTTCAGGTCGGAGACGCTGCACTGCTTCTTCCTGGGAGCTACCCCCCCACCCTCCCGAAGTTCCCGTCACTCGTCATTGATCGACTCCTTCTCCTCATAGTCATCCTCCTTCTCATCCTGCTACCGCCTCCGCCTCATCTCATTTATCATCAACATCCCCATCTCATGTTCACCCTGTCCTCACTCATTTCGCCTAATTGCTATTTTCATCCCCCTGCGCAATCCTGATCACTTCTCCGAAAAACTGGACGACGGGCTCGGTGAACCTATCAATCTGCAGCGGCGAGTTGCGGCCGTCCTCCCCGTATAATATGAAGCTCGGCTTCCCGGCCCGCTGGAGCATGGGGAGGACGGCCGTCGCCAACATCATCGAGTCGCCTGGCGACAATCCCTCCTCGCCGCCGTCGTCGACCCCCTCCTCCTTTCGGAACGTCCACGGCGACGTCGGCGAACGATCGACGAACCGACGATCGACCGACGAATGACGACCGACGAACGATCGACTACAGACGAACGATCGACCAACGATCGACGACCGACGAACGACCGACGAACGACGAACGACCGACGAACGACCGACGACGACATACGACCGATCCTTCCTTCATCCTCTTCCCCCGCCTTTGCCGCGCGGCGGCGCCGCCGCCGCGTCGAGATCCTCCTCCGACATGGCCCCTGGAGGGCCCTCGCGGCCCTCACGGGCGCACTCGCGCCTCGAATGCGGGCGAGGGGAAGCCCTTGGGCAAAAATAAAGCTCTCGGCGCACGTGCGCGCAGTGGAGGGGGGGACGGGGGCGATGGCGCTGACGGCGAGAGCACGATTTTGAAATCATGTCTATACGGGCATATGGGCATCACCGATTTCTGAAGCAAAAAACACTAAAACAACAAACAAGCATATACATATAGTGTGAAAAATGTAACGCACATTCTGTTACATTTTTTCTTGTCAAAAATGTATCATGGTTGTTTTTGAAGGTGGCAAGGATTTATAACATATTTAATGTCATTTTGCACTCCTGGGTAGGCTCTGCATGAAGGGCGCCCAGGACACACAAATAAATACACACAAATAAAAATATTCTCCATATTTTCCCATATTTTCTGGGTGTTTCGTCTTCCCCACCACTTCCCATATTTTCCCATATTTTCCTGGGAATCGACGATTAATTGTGTCTGTGTGTTTTTTCCCCTCCTGAGGCTCTGCAGTCGGGAACTTGTGCACACCGTGTCGCGGCGGCGGCTCCAGCGACACGCTGCGCCTTGCCAGCGGACCGCGCGTCGCTCCGACCCGCGGGCCCTGGCTGGCCATCGCTCGGGCGTCCATTCCCTGCGCTTTTTTCGGTGTCGTGCGCGGTTTTTGTCGCCACATGATCAAGGATGCTCCTCGATGGTCCTCGCCGAGGAAAAAATGCATACGTCCGAGCGATGCCAGGCTGGAGGCTGGGAAAGGCCAGGGACTTGCCAGCGGATGCCGTGTCGCTCCGCGTCGCGGGCCCCGGAGGCTGGAACGGGCTCGGGACCCGGACGCTTTCGAATCGCGGGGGCGCGCAGACACGGAGCAGCCGTCCATGGATTCGGCGCGTGGTCACCACATCCGTGGATCGGGGGAAATTGCCCTCCCCACAAGGCGGCCGGCGCCGCCTCGCTCGGCGGCAGAGCTCCGCGATTTCCCCTGGAAGCGGGACCCGCCGCTAATCCACGCCCCCTGGATCCATGTTTGCGATCGCCTGAGAATGGGGACGTGGAAGGCGTGTCGCGCCGGAGCGTGGTGGGCCGGAATTGGCGGAGCGACACGCCAGCCACCAAGCCAAAGTTCCCGACTGTGTATAGACGCGCCTCTGATCTCAGCAGGGCACCTCGGCAGCCGTCGGGGGTACAGGCAGGGCCTGCAAACTGACCTCGACACACTTGCACTACCCTTAGGTCGGGCATGTCCCCCTACAGGCGGATTTTGGACGACATTTTTTTTTTAAGTCAGAGAATACCCCCAAAATGCTGAAAAAATAGCCCCCCCGACTGTTTTTTTCCAGTTTTTTATACTATTTTTGGATATTCCTCCTGCAGAGGAACGAGCCTGACTCAACACTACCTCGGGAGGCACAGCGGAGAACTCGGTCGGGGACAAGTGGCCGCATAAGGCTCTGCAGCTCCTTCCCCCAGCAAGGGAGCCCTGCCTCCCTGGGTGCGGAGGAGCACAGTCGGCGTCGGCAGCACCCTTGGGGAAGCCAGGGGGCCAACCGCTGGCCGAAGCAACGCCCGCGGCAGAGATGGTCCCCACGAGTTGCAAGCACACGGACAGAAGCAGTTCCCCGACGGCGACGGCGGCGGCGACGACGGCGGCGACGACGGAGACGGCGGCGACGACAACGACGGCGACGACGGCGGCGAGGGCGGCGACGATGACGGCGACGACGACGGCGACGATGACGGCAACGTTGACGGCGACGACGACGACGACGACGACGGCGACGGCGACGATGGCATGCACAGCGGCCCTGCGTCGAGGACTCTGCCCGCCACCCCCCCCCGCCGGGGCAGGCGCGAGCGGATAGGGCGGGCGCCCAGGCCACCCGAAGGACGGCCCCCCGAAGTGCGGCGGCAGCAGGGGCGGCGGGTTGAGGTAGGGCACCTGCCGCCGAGGGGGGGGGCCCTCCTCCCACGGTTTCTGTGGCGCGTTTCGCGTCCCTCGCATCGTGGGAAACTCACGACAGAAAAAATAGATTGACAATCTTCGGCCTCTTGGGGGCCCTTGCCGGGCGCCGGGCCCGCCAAATTCCATTCTCGTCGAGGTTTGAGGATCGAACTTGGACCCTTTTTCACTCTTTTTTGAAGGGGCTCAGGGACACACAAATAAATACACACACCAAGATTCCCCATACATTTCCATATTTTGTAGGTTTTGTCTTCCCCCCACTTCCCGTGTTTTCCTAAATTTCCTGGGAGTCGACGATGAATTGTGCCTGTGTGCCTCTTTCCCGCCTGATGTTTGCGCGCTTCCAGGGGGCTCCTCGTCGCCACGGCTGTATCCGACGCGGTCTGAGAAGCAGGCTGCCTGGAAGGGATGCAGACCTCTGGGGGGCCACGCTGTGGAAAAAACACGACGTCAGTCTGGGTACAGTCATAATGTTCTGGGGCACCCGTCACTACTCAGGAGCCTACAAAGGACGCACGCCCCCAGACGCGTACATGAGCACGCCCCCCCAGTTCGCGAGGCCAGCCTCATGTTACAAACGTTGGCGCAACGCGTGCTTTCGAACTCCACGGGGATTCATGCACATGCACGTCCTCCTGTCGCTCCTGAACCACATGCACCCCACTTCTGGCCTCAGGTCGGGCATGTCCCATACAGGCGGATCTTGGGCGGCAAATGAAAACACGCGCAAGAAAAACCTTCACTATAGCTGGACAATGCTCAGGAAATCGCCCACTGCCTATAACTAGATGTTTATGTATATGTATATGTATATGTATATGTATATGTATATATATGTATGTATATATGTATAGATATTCAAGCAGTGCTCAAACATACCCCAAACGTCGTTCCCTGATTATTTCTTGGCCATTTCTGAATATCCCTCCTGTGGAGGGGCACGCCCGACTTACACTTCTGGCCACGAGCGCAGCCGCCACGCAGGGGCCCGCGAGCGCAGCCTCGCCTCACGGCGGGGGCCCCCCCGCCCGCGGGGGCCCCGCGGGGCAGCACCGCGCCGCGCGGGACCTCCGCGCGCGCGCGGCGCCGCGACCGCGCCGCAGCGCGGGCGACGACGAGAGCCTGGTCCTGCGCGAGGTGACCCGGTCTTACAGTCGGGGCGCTGACCTGAGGAACGATAGATATAGGGAACGGGGCCCCCTTTTCCCAGAAGTTAAACTCCGATGTTCCAGGGGAAGCCTCAGGAACACCCAGGGAGCACCAAGGAACACCAGGGAACCCTTGTTTTCCCATAAGTTAGAATCCGATGTTCCAGGGGAACACCTCAGGAACACTCAGGGAGCACCAAGGAATACGGCGCCCCTCCCGAACGAAAAGGGTTCCTTCCTCGGCGGCCCGACCGTACGCGAGATGGCGCAACGACCTTGCGCGGTGGCGGACGCGCGCCAGTGGCGCGGCCCGCCGCATCGGAAGCGAGCGCGCCCACGCGCGACCTTGCAAGCGTACGCGCCAATGTCGGCGCAATCGGCCCCAGTTGCTTCCATCGCTCACGTGGTTCCCCTGACACCTGGGCCGCTTTTCCCGGACCGACTTTTCATCCTGAAACGGTCTGGCCAGGGCCACCTCGGAAGCGGGACATGTCGAACAATACCGCGCGATGATTTGCGTCCCGTCGCGAGGACGTGATGGCGCACTCAGAGTTCTGTCAAAGGTGACATCGTATCATGACGGATGCCCCTTCGGGGGGTTTCAGTTGAGCAAGCCTCCCTGCGTCTCCAAGGGGCGGGCGAGCTTGGCATGCCAGGCCCGACGTTCGGCTGGCGCTTCGCTGAACGCTCCGAGTAGTGGCCGCTCGTGCCGGACGTTCGTCAAATGCGGCGCTCGCTCCAGGGAGGAGGAGGAGGAGGAGGGGAAGGGGGAGAAGGAGGAGGAGGAGGAGGGGAAGGAGGAGGAGGAGGAGGAGGAGGGAGGAGGAGGGAGGAGGGGGAGGAGGATTGAGACGAGCACGTGGATGACGAGGAGGGGTCGCAGAAGGCGAAAGGCAACTCGGAGGAAGAGGAGGAGGTCGAGCGCGCCCAAGGGGTGCATCCAGGGAGGAGGAGGAGGAGGAGGAGGAGGAGGAGGAGGAGGAGGAGGAGGAGGAGGATACGACGCTGTGGAGGCGGCCGCGCGGGTGCACAGTCCGACAAAAGAGGACGAGGGGTAGGGGTCACCCTACCCCTCCAGCTGCAAAATCGCGGGCCTCCCCCACCGAGTGGATCACGGGGAGGGCAGCAACAACGGCAAAAACAGAACGAGTTTAAACGGCACCAGGACCAAACGCCACAGGAGCCAGGGAGCCCGAGCCAGGAGTTTAGAGGGGCGGGCCCCCGAGAAAAACGCTAGGCCCTCAAGAGCCTGAGCCAAGAAACCTCAGGGTCGGAGACCTGCAAGGGCCTGGGCTGGGGAAGGTTCCTGGATCCAGGTCTCCCCTCGTCAGAGGGGTGCTTCCTCTCCAGAAACAACTTGCGATTCCTCCTGGCGTGCTCACCCAAGGGCACGACTGGTGAGCAGTCTAGGAGACGCTGACCTGCCTGGCCTGTGGTATAATATCCACATCTAACACAGAGCACGACATGTCCTGGCGAGACCCAGGGATCGTGCCCTCGAGCGTGACACGACTGCACCATGCCGCACGACGGCATTGGCGCTTCTGGCACTGTTGCCTCAGAACTCTTAGCTCGGCCTGGCCGCGGTCCAAGGTTCCTTCTCTTGGGAGGAGGAGGGCCAAGAGAGGAGGAGGAGAGAGCCTGGACCGCTGTCGCCAATGAAGCGGCATCTCGGGTCCGAGTCTGGACGACTGGGCTGAATACGATCCGCGAGTGCACGTTACGCGTGGCTGGTGAGGGTGAGCGGGCACGTTCTGGAGCGGACAAGCGGCCTCGGACCCGACGGTCCACGGTGGGACCCAACTCCATCGCACGCTTAGGCCTCTCCGCCCCCACCCCCGACGGGCCCGAACCCTGGGAAGCCTCGGGATCCGAGAGGGCGTGCACATCTAAGGAGTCAGGCCTACTCTGAACGCCCGCAAAGCCTGAATCCAGTCCGTGCTGGCCCCCACTGCACGAGGCCCCCTGGGTGTCAGCACCGCTAGGCGCCGAGGGAACCCCGCCACCAGGAGAGACCTCAGCATGACAATCGACACGAGTGACCACAGGCCACCGAGCGGGGCAAGCCGACTCGGAGAAACGCTGCCTTTGCTTGTCGCTCTTAACACCTCGTTTACAAAAATTGCACCGCCAAAACCCTTCACCTTGCTGGGAAAACACGTGCTTCCAAGACTGATCGAGGAACGGCTCAGAACGGGCAACAACTTTCGGTTTATACAGCTTGCGTCGTTTCAACGTGGGCGTGCGACGATGCGACATATGATGAGTATGCGCACGCACAAGCCAATGGAGCACGCCGCGCACAGACTCATGCGCAATGCGCATGGCCGTGGCTGTCTCCTTAGGCACGCTACGCACATCACGACCTGCACAGGCTGCAAAATCGGCCCATCTGTTGGACCGTGCCTCCAGGGAGTCCCCTTTCTGATGACCACGAACGTGGGAAACCTGCAAGGCCTCTCCAAGGCCTCCGTGGTCATCTATGTTGCGCCATATGGCTCCCAAGAGGTCCGCGTTCGGCCAACGGGGGCCGCGCGTAAACATCGGGCCGAGATCTGGGCCCTCAACAAGGCCCAGGAAGTCAGTAAAAACTCGAATCGGCAAGATAGCAACCTCTAAAACCTGGGGGAATGCAAAGAGCTCAGCTCGTGGGGTACTCTGAACGGGCCCAGGTAAGGCCCCGTAGACAACCAACTGGATCGACCTGTCTTGACATTTGATGAAGCCCCATCCCGCCCTCGAAGCTTCCGGCCAATACCACATTTTTCTGCACGCACCGTCCGTGAAGATGTCCCCTGTGACTAAGTCCAGGGAGCCGTGCAAGATTTGCCAGCGGTTGCTGTCGTCGCGAAGCGGCAGCGGCGGAAAACACGATCGTGGAGCAAGTCCACGATTCCAAAACCATGAGCCTGCTGTGCGCGAGGGCAACCCTCGCACGTCAATAGCTGCCAAGGCCTGGTCCTGCTCCTGCTGCCTGGAAGGGCACCCCCAAGATATGTGATAGCTGGTACAGACCTCGCATGCGCATCCAGGGCAACATGACGCGCGCTCATATCCATGCATGTACAAACGCTGTGGTGACCACAGCCCCCCTCCAACAATGGCCCTCAACAGGCCAGCCTCCTGGATAGTAGGTTTGCAAGACTTGGGCTTAGGCCGAGAATCCCCTTCAACGTCCAAATCGGGTTCTTGAGGGTCAGGGAGGTGCCCACGTAAGAGACCTATGACGGGTTCCAGCCAGTAACCTAGGGGCCCCTTGGGGTTCATACCTTCATCTGCAGGATTGGGCCTGGCAGCCCACATAGCCCACATCTTTCTGACACCAGCGGCGCGAGCAAGGTCGCGAACAGACAGTGGAGCATCAACTCGGAGATCAAGGCGTTCACCCCTGTCTGTGATAAAACCGAATGCCGACGTGGCCACCCAAGCGACCTCAAAAATAGCAACATGGCACCTGTGGTGCCGCATGCTCTCTGCCATGGCTTCTCGGCCCCAAGAATACGGAAAACTTGCCGATGCCATGCTTGCTGAAGGGCTTCATGCGACATACGAGCGTCTCTGCATAGTAGGGCCCATTGGAATACAGGCTGTGTCCGACACGCTATCTGGGGGTCCTCGTACATAGAACCATGTAAACATGATGTCAGCCAGGCAGATGTGGTCGCACCTGGTGTATACCATGCGTTACGCATGATACCTCTCATATTCTCGACTAAAGGCGGGGGAGCGCCGTGCACTCCGACTCCGTACTGCATAGCAGATGGCAATGCCTGCTTCGCAAACTTGGAGCAAAGGTGTCCTGCTGTGCGCACACGTTGCAACCGATGG